TCCCGGAGACCTCCCCTCCCCTATTCCCTTTCTTGATAAAACATATAGTGTGTTGTGACTGGTGTTTTTTCCTGCAATGTGCAAAGACATCGACATCTTCTGAGTAGCCGTCAAATACAATGCTTGCAGAGAGCCCACAATGTTCTTCTCAAATTTGATATATTTTTTAATAACATTGTTTGAACGATGAATTTCCATCCCAAACCATTTTATGTACAAGAAAACCACCAAACCAACCAAATCCTGAGCCACTGCCTGGTTCATCAAAAACACCGAGGAAACTATAATTATGGCATTTTTAAAATTAGAAAGTTATTTATGCATAATTATATGAATACTAGAGAATAGTGTTCATTTCGCAGCTCTGTAAAAAACCATAATAATTGAATAAAATTGAAAAAGTTTGTGATGAAAATTATTCTTTGAATAATAATAATAATTCTATAAAATTGGTGCAATGCCAATTTTTTGTAAAAACACCAGAAAAAAAGTTATACCTAACGAACAATTGAAAATTTTTTATGAAATGTTCATCAATTTTCGTTTATAACTTTGGTACGACCATTGAATAATAAATGGTACGACTAAAAGTTACTGGACCAAATTTGTAGAGAATTTTATTTTTATTAAAAAATGATTTATTAATTTCTTTGAGACCAATATAGTTTGTCAGATAAACCATAAAAACCATTTACACCCCTTTTTTCTAGCTGGCGGCCGTGGGACAAGGGCTACAACCCCACAAACTTGGATTTACCTTTAGACTAACTCTTGCTTGATATTTAAAAAATAAAATTGCGTCCTCTGATAGACGTAACCCCAAATGTAACTTTTCAAATAACAACAAATAAAATGTTAGCTTCGTTACACAGTTGAATTCCCGTCTTCTTACTTCAACTCCCGCAATTGCTTTCTGCTGCTTCTGTACTTGCATCTCTTTTTCTTTCCTTGCAACTCTTCATCTTGCCTATTATAAACTTTAATTTCTTGCTGCCTATAAATTTTTACTTCTTGCTTCAAACCGTCTAGTTCAATTTGATTACTTTCATCTTGGTTCTTTTGGTGTTCTGACTGAATCTAATGTGATCGAGACCCGAAGAATGGCTTCGTATTACTTTCTTTGATTTCAGCCGTTTGTTCTTCCGTCTTCTCAATTATTTCGATTAGGTCGCATCCATTTTTTTCATTCTGCGAGTCTTTTTATTCATTTCTTTTAAACTCGTCATTTAATTCTGCCTCTCATGCAGCCGTCGTTTCTCTTATTTCCTTTAGGATCTCAGCGACCCATTCTTCCTCGGTCTTCATCCTCATTACAGACATCTTCAATTTTAAGTCTTGTTAAAACCTGAACGTTTTTCCTTAATCAAATCAAAGAAAACCCTAGCTCTACTTATTACTGAATACCTTTATATTTAATCCTGTACGTAAGGACACCTGATTAAACAAATGTCTGGGTACCAAAAAGGTTTTAACCATACGACAAAAACTTCCCTAATTTGCTTTAAATTAGCATTATTGACTTAAATTGTGCGTTTCCGTGAATTGACTCAGGTTTCTGACGCTGAATAAATAATACTGTGTACAATTGCATGCGGTCACTACACCATCCACAAAACACATGTCTCGCGAAACTTCTCTCCTCGTACACATCCGAACTTTTGATTAATACCTGAAATAAATCTTGGGCACGAATAGAAAAATCTGACATGAAAACTCTTATCTTCTGGGTCGCACAAAGATTTGAACAAACACACAATTAATTGATTGATTTATCCAGAAATGCATGAAACAAAATCCCTGAAAAAAAGGAAAAGCTTACAAAGCTTGTTTAAACAGAATACTCCGTACGCAGACGGTGCATAAGAAAAAATTCGATGTACTACACTGCTTCCTTTGTCAACTTGACTAAACTTTCTCCGTATTCGGAAAACACGCGTTAAGCATCTCACACAACTTTGGTAATCTTGCTTCTGCACAACTTATTTATAGAAAATTACGGACTGCGTTTTCAACAAAACAAGTTGGGCTAACTGCCCGTCCACACGCTTTATAACCATCCCGAAAACTCAGCCCCCCCCTCTACCCCCTCGATCTCGTTGTCTCTAATATTTAAAAAGCGCCAATTCCACTATTCCACCTTTTCATAATTTTCAAACTCACCAATCAACGACAGAACGCGCCAAACGTCCCCACCTCTCCAACACGAAACGTGCAATTCAAATCTGCATCTCTTTACCAGCACTAGAACGTACGCCTGATAATAAAACTCTTTATCGCAAACGATGTCTTAATTCTAGTTCTAATACCTTTTCTAAATTGAATAACTTACAAAAGAGATATACATATAAAAGGAATAATTACACATCTAACTCATTTCTAAGAGAAAGAACAACGTGTCACTATATTTTACTATCAGTACCTATAAAAACCGAGCTAGATAAAACCTTGGCATTTTAATACAACAATTTTATATAAAAGTGTGCATTCCCGTAAAAGCTTGAATGACCATTTGAATTATTTGTCATTTGAAATCCTGCATCCTTTAATGCTCAAATTTGAAAACTAAGCCACATAGATGTGTAGAAAATTAAGAGCTCTTTCCATTTATGTGGTACTCGACCCAACGTACAATTTGAAATTATTGGTGGTTGCGTTTTTTCCAAACACTATTTCCGTACGAGTTATTCCGTCTGTTTCGTTTTCGTTGTACCACCCTGTATACAAAACAATAAGTGTATATTATAAGCTTTAGTATTCATACGTTTCGAACGTTAGAAAATCTCTATATATAAAAATGAACCCCTGTTTCTTCTGGTCACTCAATAACTTTAGAACGACTTTACCGATTTCATTCATCTTTTTTTTAAAAATTTTATAATACTGTGTAGAAGGTTCTTACGGCAAGAAAAACTAAGAACATCGCACAGAAAATTGGAAAATTGGAGAAAACCGAACGACTATTTAAACATCGCGCGTTTGACGGTGCGACGGCAATTGTTTTAACAGCTACATCGATCGGCAATGGATCGGCATGTATCCGTCAAAAAATTAATTTATTCATATCATAGTGTGCTGTTCCATCAGATAGTTTATCCAGATTTCAGTGAGTTTTTTGAAAAGTTTCGAGGTTATTTCACCGCAATCACGCCTTTTATATTAAAAGTTTGATACCTAATATCCATTTTTGGTAAGTGTTGAATGTTGATAGACTAAACACGTGGTATACATAGTTATACAGAAACACTAAGGGAGTCAATTTCTATGTTCAGTTGAATTTTAGTGTTTTCAAGACACTACTAATTAGACGTACCAACATGGTACCAACTTAAGTCGCAGAATCCCTATCGAGCTACATTTAATTATAACGTAGCAATCGATTACAGTTTACAGTAAATCGTTGCTATTAGACCAAAGAACTTCGTGTGTCCACATTGTAAGGCTTTTAAGATTAAAACTGAAGCCCCTGGATTACGTTGCGCCAGTGCCCAAGTGACATTGACGCCATTGGTATCGCCACCAGGGCCACTACATTCCTTCGTTTCCGGAAATGGCCCAAATTCTATACATTTTTTGACTCATATCCAGAAATACAATAATTGCTTTCAAATTCAAAAACAAAAAAAAAGGTACGTTGCTAGCTCTGAATCGCCAAACGCAACTAGCAGTGCGCTTATTTTTTATTATTTTGGAGAGAGATGGGGAGATTTTGGGGGAAGTGTGTCAAAATCTCTTTTCCGACTAAACGGTTGAACCGATTTACCTAAACCAAATTTGCTACGCATATTGTTATAGACATAAAAGGGCAGAATCGCGCATGCGTAGGTGGGGCTGGTGTTATCTGCGCTAGCCACAGCAAATTTTTTGAAATAATTTTTTGATATTATTTATTCCAATCCAAATTGAATACGTATTCATAGCTAAAAAAAGAGGAAAGCGTCCGTCGGGTCAGCTAGTATTATAATATAATTAGGTACCTACTTTACTTACCATTGAATACTTTACAAGCTCTCAAAGTATTTTAATAGGTACCTACCCTAAAAAGTATTTGGATAATTGGATAGTTTACAAACCATCGGATTTCTATACAGGGTGGTGACTTGCGTAACGCATCATAGGTATTTCAATGTAAAATTCATAACATGCGATTATTGGCTCCCCAAATTATTTTAGAGCAAAAATGTATTAAGGTTTTTTGTGGAAAAAAAATTTTTACGTCAATCAACCGTATTAGTTTTCAATGTTTTTCATAATAAACACGGAAAATTGGAAAAATAAAACCCTCGTCTTTTTCAATAATCTGTGATGCCATGGAATTTTATAATACAAAAACTACGCCAATATCCGTCATGCCATGGAATGTCCAATGTCGGCTATAAAACAAATCAAATTCTATCAAAAAGTATTATATTTAGAACAGCGAATTCAACATAAAGAAAGACCAAATTACTAAAAACGGTTTCCTAACATAACAATTTACAATAAATGTTCGAGTAAGTCACCATTAACTGCAAGACAGTAACCAAGTCGATCATAAAATCAATTTCGAACTGCTGCTAATTGATACCTGGATATGTTTTTGTTTTATAAAATTCCATGGCATCGCAGATTATTCAAAAAGATGCGGGTTTTATTTTTCCAATTTTCCGTCTTTATTACCCAAAAAATTGAAAACTAATACGGTTGATTAGCGTAAAAAAATTATTTCTACAAAAAACTAATACATTTTTGCTCTAAAATAATTTGGGGAACCAATAATCGCACGTTATGAATTTTACATTGAAATCCCTATGATGCGTTACGCAAGTCACCACCCTGTATATTAAAGTATTTGAGCTGAAATACAATTATACAAATACTGCTTCCATAAATGTATAGTATTTGAATACTTTGACTGACCCTGTATAAATAATATAATGAAGACGTGTATTGCCCCTGTAAGTTTGGCAACCAATGAACCACAAACAGTTGTTGGAAGCAGACGACAGATGGCGCAAAATCATTTCTGCCGTGTCATTTCAACATCAACCCGAAACGAAAATAGAAAAGCGGTTGCGGTAATCTACGAAAATTTTAAAGTGATTAAACAGTTTATTCGCAAAGTTTTTGCACTTCAAATCATTCTCAGTAACTTATTAGTATTTAGTGTAGTACGTGTAGCGAGCTATTAAAGTAACATAATTTGGAAAAGTAAGTTTCACATGCACCGTCATTGTATCTAACCTAACCTGTTTCTTTTTCAGATGTTTTTAACAAGAAGTGAATATGATAGAGGTGTGAATACCTTCTCACCTGAAGGCCGCCTGTTCCAAGTAGAATATGCAATTGAAGCGATTAAATTGGGTTCGACCGCGATCGGTATTTGTACTCGTGAAGGCGTTGTTTTGGCAGTTGAGAAACGAATAACATCCCCTCTCATGGAGCCTACGACTATTGAGAAGATTGTGGAGGTTGACAAACACATCGGCTGTGTTGTTTCCGGTCTTATGGCCGACTCACGCACGATGATCGATAGGTAAATAATAATAATTGGTTAGACACAGTTAACGTTGTCATAGGGCGCGCGTGGAATGTCAGAATCATTGGTTTGTTTATAACGAAAGGATGACCGTAGAATCCTGTGCACAAGCTGTCTCAAATTTAGCAATTCAATTTGGCGATTCAGACGATGACGGTGCGGCAATGTCACGGCCGTTTGGTGTAGCGATACTTTTTGCGGGTATTGATGAAAAAGGTCCTCAGCTCTATCATATGGATCCTTCTGGTAAGTGTTTCGGGGTGAAGTGTCATATTTCATGTTTCTGTCGATAGGTACATTTGTACAGTTCGATGCTAAAGCTATAGGATCTGGCTCTGAAGGGGCTCAACAAAGTTTACAAGAAGTGTACCATCGTAGTATGACTTTAGCAGAAGCAACGACCGCATCTCTCACCATTTTGAAACAAGTCATGGAAGAGAAATTGAATTCTACCAATGTAGAGGTGATGACAATGACGCCTAAGGGATTATATCATATGTTCACTAAGGAAGATGTTGAAGAGGTAAAGGGCAAAGATATATAGAGATTCGATGCTATACAAATATCTGATCTTTTTTTTTATTATAATACCTACTTCTGGGTGTTTGTCCGTCTTGTCTCCTTGTATTAATCTCCCCCCCCCCCCCAATGTGATAGAAGTTGCATAGCTTAACTTAAAAATGTACTGTAATCTAATTTCATTAGTACTGTCTCTATCTAAATGACCACATTGTATAGCATAGTCTCTATTTCTTACCTATCTTACAGGCAGGTATTAAACGGTTAATGTGTTTTAGGCTTTAAAAAATGTAGCACCATTGGAACACTCTCGAGGTGATACCCCAGCTACAGGATCCGGTGTGCAGGCAAAAACCAGTAGTGCTTAATTCTTCATTATTCTAATATTTTGTCAACTTTTTGCATTTTGTTTTCTAAATAAATAATGAACTGCATAATTGTACTGGAGCGAGGGGGGGATGATGACAGGATGAAGTATAAATAATGGGAATAAAGTAGTACATGAAACTGACTGTAGGCTTCGACTACCTATAAGCATACTTATCTATTTCCCAAGAACATAACAGGGTGGTCCACTGAAATCAGTTAATGCCAATTTTGGCTTCTTAACGACAGTTTTGACAGAAATACCAGGCCAATTTTAGTTTTGAGGTGGACATCTAAATTAATTAAACGGTTTACATTACGTCAAATAAATGATAAAATGTTAGGTAGTTGGAAAGAAATGTTCATTCTGTTTTCAGCACTATTTTCAAATCCGATCAGTAGTTTCAGAGAAAACTTGATTCAAAAAGATTTGCAGAGCCGCAACTTCGTATCAGTAACAATTAATCAAAATTACACTATCAAGTGTTCGAAATCACCACCAAAGTTCCAAACCATAATAGAGATTTATGGCGTTGTATAAGGTTAAGAACTGTCTAAAATTCTGTGCAAAATGAGGAGGAGCGCCGTCTTGTTGGGATATCGCTTCATCTTCATTTTCTATAATATAACGCAGAACTGGGTCCAGCGTTCTAAAAACCGCTCGAGCGATCTAATTGTCTCAAAAATGCTCGCGAGCATCGAGTTATTTTTCAAAGCAAAACCGCTTGCGAATTCCGAGCACTCCTAAAAGTGCTCGAGCGGAAAAATACGCTCGGGAGCGGAAAAAAAAGCTCAGGAGCGGCGCTTAATCCTTCAGCGCTTGAGGGCAGTTAAAAGCGATCACGAGCGGAAAAACGCTAATGAGCGATTTTACTGCTCGTGGGCAGAATAAAAGCGCCGAGCACTTTAAGTAAACGCTCGAGTATCGAGCACCAAGCGGTCGCTCCGAAAAGTGCTCGCGAGCAAGCGCTTTTTCCGCTTGGAGCGCTTTTTCGAGCGGAACGCTCGCAAGTAGTACCGAACTCTGATATAACTTCATTGAATAAAAATTTCTTTATCCAATAGTAACGTTCACCACGTTCCATATAATCAATAAGATCTTTTAACAATGACAAACAGGTACGTACGTGTATTGCCAGTTTTCTTGTACATTGCATACGCTCCATCGTAAACGCGCCCCAGAACTGCTAAATTTTGCCCAACGTCTGCATAATTTCGTTTCATATGTTTGCTACAATCCTGTTTCGAAAATTTTTATTAAATCGCTTCACGTATGAATGATTAATGAAAATGGTTCAGCTGCTATTGTTAACGCAGATTCACCATTTAAAAAAATCGAAACAATTTCCACCCTTTCCGCTATAGGGTGTACTGTACGTACATAACCCCCAGGTTCTACGCTAACTTAACACAACAATTCGGTGACCGGGCATTAAGCCGCCAGACAATAGGACACGCCGTCATTGGGCCGCAAGACAATAGACCGCAAAGGAAATAGGCCGCAGACATTAGGACACAGATCCTCTAGGCCAGGACTAGGCGTTAGAGCGCATAGCGCTAACAGATGAAATAAGAACAGTGGTTTAAAATTTAGTTATACCTTTTATTGTCCTACCTGCAACCTAATCTTTGCTTTGTAAGATGATCTACGTGATGCTTGCGTTCTAACGTCGGCGTCTCAATGTCCGCGTCCTAATGTCCGCGCATCCTAATGTCTGCGTGCTAATGTCCGTGTCCCAATGTCTGCGTTCTAATATCCGCGTCCCAATGTCTGTGGTCTATTTCCTTTGCGGTCTACTATATTGCGGTCCGCGTCCTAATGTCTGCGTCCTAATGTTTTGCGGCCCAATACCATAGCGCGCAATAATTCAAATGTTACGACTATAAACATGGGGAAATCGAGCACATCAATCACACACAGATTCTAAACCGTTTTTATTAGTAGAACTTCACCTCCGAGCTAGATATCTTGCCCCTCGTCCGGGGTTTCGAGCCTACAGCTGATTGTCGAGATCAGTTACTGTATTAATTGAGTGTCGTAACTCATTTGATTACAGTATTTTTGCCACTTTCGTGACCGTCTCTTCAACAAAAACTAAGTCAGTAGATACACATACATCACGCAATTCGATTATTTCCACATGTTTAAAAAGTGATTAAAAATCTAAATCTATAAGTTAGGGGCCTAGGGAATGCAATCCCGCAGCAAAATTTCGGTCCCGGTATTTGCGGGATCATAAGATAGTAATCCCGCGGGATCCCGCAAAATTGTAAAAACATTCGGAAATAAGCGATTTTGTGCAGTTAACGGAATATTGTCAAGAAAACACATTGTACTTATATTTCGCCTCGTATTTCGCGGAAAGAATGCATCACATCCGCCGTCTTTTCTTGTCGCCGGTGAGAAATCTTTTATGGCCCCTCCATGTCTATCTCGGATTTCTAGAATATTCGCTGCAATATTTCCATACAGCCACTTTACTGCTAAGGTATTTTATATTTTATAAACAATCGAAGAGTCCGACATATTGTCCTCAAGAATAACGGTTCCTGCATTTTAAAACATTAGCAAAATAAGTCCGATTTGCGTATACTTACAAAGTTAATAAACAGATACGGATTTGCGAGTAATTGTTGCATGAACTACAACAACAAAAATGTGCGAAATAAACAAAATTCACAGAGTTTCTAATGTATGGGGGTAAGCTTGGTCGATAAATTCTGCAATCACGAAAATCCCGCGGAATCCCATTACATTTACGTACGGGATTAATACCGCAAAAAGACTGCGGGATCCCGCGATCCCGGTATTGCATTCCCTAGTCCAAATAACCGCAACATAAACAAAAATTTACCAAACATTACACCAAAAATGAACGCGATTGCAAAGAAAAGGTTAACGGTATCAAACACGTAAATCTGCATTGAGGTTAAATATTAATACATTATTCTGAAGTAGCGTATTTGAAAGTAATAAATCACTCAATAGTCACTTTGGTTTTTCTGTCTCGGCGATTAGAAAATCGTGATTTAGGCGCGCGCGTGACGATTAAATGATCGCAGTGTTGAATAAATTCCGTTGAAACAGCTTGTGTGATAGTTTTCTTGTTACGAAGGTTACAAAACGTCGTAATAAATGTGTGTGATTAAAGCGTCGCGCCTTTACGCGCGGCGCGGCTGGCCGAGGCGTGGCGTTGCGTCTTTTCGCTCATGTTAATGTAAATAGGCAAACACTCGCAATTGAGCCATGCTCACGAGGTACCTGATTCAGTCCAGGGATGCTCGCCACTTGTGACCTTGGAAAGTAGGTAAAGTGAAGGTCAAAGATCACCTGCAACGTCACGGTAACCTTGGGAACTAGGTCAAGATAAATCGCAAATGATGCTTGTCCCTGAAGGTCAATGATCCTATTTTTTGTGGTGTCATATTTCATCTTTAAGGTCAGCAGAGCTCATGACCATTGAAAAGTAGACCAAGGAGAAGTTCACACGTCGATAGGCACCTGGCGGTGATCTTGCACAATTGCTCAGAGGCCGGTTCAATCGTTTATTACTCATAAACATTTCGTCCCTTTCGAGTGCCACCTTCGAAAATGAGTCAACTCCTTGTTCGATAGGTATAGTTGACCCCTAAACCTCTCGCTCTTTTCAAATTTCAAGCGTAAAGTTGATCAACACACATTCGGGCGTTCAACCCTAGTGGCAAGTGGAAAGTAAATCGAGACCCCGCCCCCCGGTCGGTTGTTCACCCCAGAAGATCGGTTCAATATCTGCCCTTCAAATAAATAAAATTTTATTGATGCATATTTATATTTTGTACTTTATTACTCGTTGCATTTAATTTTCAAGGTTACCAACGGTCAATGACCCCAACGCCCCCAATAATTCTTTTGATATCAAATTTGATTTTTGAGATAAACAAAGGTCACTCCCTCAGTCGAATTTGTCTAGAAGCCAAAGTAACATACATAGTCCAGGCTAAATAGCTCTAAAATAATTTATTTTCAAAAAAAATTAGTTACCGGGCGAAACCGTGTTTTTCAGGCAGGTGAAATGAATAGAAATCGGGAAAAAATAATTAAAACAGTTGAATTTTCCCGCGGGTGAAATCCCGGGGGTTGAAAGGAGTGGAAAGTGGTGTTTTGCAAATTGTGACAAAACTATTAATTTGAGACGAAAATGTTCAATGTAAAAGTTATAGAGATTAAAAAAATGAGTAACTTTTGTATCTGCACTATTTTCACATAACCTCCAATTTTCCTAGAAAAACCGGCAAAACCGTTTTTTTCGTTTTTTATTCTTATTTTTGCGAAAAAAAGTCGTAGGGGTTTGAAATTTGGAGGGAACATAGCTTGTTTTATGAAAAAAAAAGAAGATAATTTTTTGGGCCTGTAAAGTTGAATCGTTTCCAAGATCTCACGATTTCTGAAAAAAACAAAGGGGATGAAAAATCTATTTTTTTTATCGTATAGTGCGTAGGGTAGCAAAATTTTCGTAAAGACTTACATTTTAATAATCAAAATTTAAAAAATATTATTAAAATAGAAAAATTTTAAGAAAAGCGGCAAAAACTGGGGGAACAGTTTTAAGATATGCCGTTTTTGACAGTAGGAAATAGCTTTTTTGCAACTTAATTAACGTATTGGATCCGCGCTAATAAAAAGTTTTTGAAATCTGTCTTCTCTCTCCTCTTTAATGTTGCTAAAATATTTTCTTTTTTTCCAGTGCCCAATTGCCTTAATTAAAACATCTTTATTATTTCTTTTTTCTGCGCAGTTTTACCACAATATAGCAATTCGAAGTAAAATCGAATTCTTTTGCTTCCTGAACAATTTGTTTTTGTTCACTAACTCTTCTTCCTGCCTGTTTTACAGCTGATGGAATTAAGCTGGGCCTGTTGATCGTTAATTTACAGGAATTATGAATAAAATCCTCACGGAGTTTATTCCTGGTTTTACATCTCAAATCATTTGATTTGACCGATAAAACTAACGTTCTTATTGCAGATTTTGCAAGTTTATCAACAGGCCCAACGCAATTGCATCAGCTATAAAACAGGCAGAAAGAAGAGTCAGTGAACAAACAGATATTGTTCGGGAATCAGGAAGCAAGATAATACTGCAACTATTATTTTTATTCTGTTACGATCCTTCATTTTGATTTAACATCTTGTGTACTTCTTCCACTTTACCTGCTACGTGTAACCTCCAGTTTGGTTATTTTCCACAAAGTAGAAAGGCGGAAGAAAAACATCCATAGTATAGTTTTTTATAATTCTTTGATTTAAAGTTGTACGTGACATAAAAGTACTTTCAACTAGCGTAAAAGTCAAAAACGGTCTTCGCCACGAGGTTTTTTTCTTGTGATAGCTCATTTTGGTCCCAATCTATTGGCACGCGACCTCCCACAATAGTAAACATTTTGAACACATTCATTTGGCTTGTATATGGTTACGTAACGTTTCGTAGGTGACATTGATCGCCGTTGGTAGGAATAGGTACGCAATGTAAATCGAAAGACATAGCAATAACAGGCAGGCCAAAATGTCCAGATTGGCCGTTTGGTAACCATCCATGTCTCTTGCTGGCAGCACCAAATGGTCAACGTTTTTATGTCTCAAAACGTATTCGATCCAGTATACCCCTTTTTGAAGTGCGGTCATTGGCTGATCGCGGTAACGCTTTGCTACCAACTTCATGTTGGTCTTGTAACTAAAACAAACGTTGCTTTGGCTCTCAAAAACTGTAGAAATACTTACATTGGATTGTTGAGAACTTCTTTGACATTTTCGAGGATATGCGTCACGGTGAGGTTGTTGTAATTTATTAACCTGGCCGTTTTTCGCCGCTCCATTCTGCGTATGTTGGCACGTTGGTCGGATCTGAAAGGTATTCCAACGACTGGTGCAGCGTGGTACATTGCTTCTTGTGTGCTTAGTATTCCTCCATGGGTTATGAATAGCTTTGTGTTTTTGTGTCCTAAAACAAAATTTAACCAAAATTGTAACTTAGAAATGTACATAAATTAAAGTTGGCTAGATGTCAAAGGCAGCTCCCACGCTTTATACTAACGTAAATGTACACAAATCGACGGCTAAAAAATGCAAACTTGGCACCAATACAGCTGTTTGGTACGTTTAGCACGGATCATTAATTTTGTAATGATGACGATCACTAATTTGCCTTACCTAAAATATCGTTTTGAGGTAGAGTTTTCCTCAATATAACATTTTTTGGTAGGCCTTCAATGCTACCCCCTTCGTATTTCCAAAGAACGGTTTGAGGTAACTGTTTGAAGGCTTCTAAAAGATTTGTCTTTTGGGTTGCGCTCAGCTTATCTGATCGTAAAAACGAACCGAGCGAAAAATAGATTACTCCATTCTTTGAATCGTCCATGATCTTTTGCAAATCCTGCAATACACATTATAAGCAATCACCTTTAGAGTTATTGGCGTTTTTACCTTGGGCAATGGCTTGCTTGGTGTCAGATGAAGACCACCGACAGGGATGATATTGGGCGGCAGAGCCATTGGAAAATCAAATATAAAATCTACGTTGGCCAACAATAAGCTCATGTTCCTCTCGTAATCGCGCAAGGCTGGAGTTTCTTCGCCAAAATAGTCTTTAACTAGTTTATTCTCCTTGGGGGAGAAAGAATTTTTCCTGTACATGACTTCCACGAAGGTGTAAAAGAAGTTCAAAAGACGTTCGAGGAAGGTCATCTTGGTGGAAAATTCTGTGTTGTAATATGGAGTGTAGGATGTGTGTAGATGATTTCCGAAAGCGTTCGATAAGATTGGCGGTAAACGATACGGGGTGACGGCAACAGCGGGTGGATTATTAAATCTGGTAACAAGAGGGTAGAAGCAACGGCCATAGCTCGAGTCAAAAATAATTAAATCAAACTTAAACTTTTTTGGATATTCTTGAAGTGTTTTAAAACCGGTCGTATTGAAATCATATTCACAACAGAACTCAACGTGTTTAAATAGCGCTTTCATTGTTTTAATAGCAGTATCTTCTTTGATCTCATTTGATACAAATTTTGAATCCAGGATATCGTAAATGCCTAAAATTAAGATTAAAAATTACCTACTTTACCGGTATCAATAGACGGAAAACTTAACCTTCCAGTAGAATTAACGTAAAATTCTGAATGGGAGGACCTTTTTCGGCATCGTGACTTAGCATAGTAACATTATGACCTCTATTCCGTAAGCCCATCGCTAACGCTCTATTCCATCTTTGAAGGCTGGGGGACGCAATCGGTGCAACGTACAGAATGTTTGCACAACTCGCATATTGCAATAAAAACGTTAACAAGAACACTATTAACATCACAGGTAGTAAAGTGCAAAGCGAATAATCACTGAATAAAGTCAAGTGTCACAAAAATCTTTGTTATTTTTAACGAAGCAACGGGCAGGGAGATGGGAATTATATTATTAGAAACATAATGTCACGCATGTGCGAAAAATAGAATTTTATCTAGTTTTGCATTGGAATAATACCAAATTGTTAAAAAAAATAACAGGCTCTTAACACCAGTAGTATAATTAAATATGTCTTGAGTGATGCCAAGTTACTCTCTGACTCAGAGAATTGGCGGAAAGAATGCGAATCCCTCAAAAACCCTAAATAATCTCCGCCCGCATAAACATTAGATATAATTAGTACCATCATACTTCCATAAATAAGTCAGTTATGTCACTTGCTCCCTATTTTTACCCGTTGTGTTGACCATTCAGCAAACTTTCTTTCGCACTAAATCATTTCTGAAAGCTTCATCGGACAGTTTTTATTCAAAAAAATGTCCAGGGCGAAAACGTAAGAAAAAAGTGTTTAATATATTACATTGTAAATTATCAAAGTCTGAATCTAAACGTCAAATGCAGCAGTAAATCTGTCAATTTTTCATGTCAATCTTGTTGAAATCTTGTTGAAAAACATTTCAGCTGTATGTAAACTGTCATTATTTATAGATGATATTAAGTAATAGAGAATTTTATTTATAAAATATTATGCATTCTTGCAAAATGTACCTACATTTTAACTTGAACAGAAGCAGCGTATGGCCTGACTATTTAAATTGCCCACGTTCAAATGGCGTCATTAATTTATGTTGAAATTTATAGATTGCTTCTATTAAATAAAAACAAAATTAGGTACAAATTGGCATGCACTTTTAAATGAATGATCTAACAACTATCCAATAATCTATGCTATACGGATGTGCGGGTTTGTAGTTTTTTTTTTATTTTTTACCTAGGGGGTAGGACCTATGAGGATATCGTACATTTAGTCCAGCGTTTCTCCAGCTGTTTGAGCCTATTTAAAAAATCATTTAAAATCTTCGTTTATAATCTTGAATATTGTACTTTCAAACAATCGAGCTTCTTTCGCAAGGATTGGGATTTACATTCTTCGATCAGACAGTACGAAATCTTTCACAAATCCTATGCTTTCCTCAGTTCTTGCCACAACCAGTCTTCCTGACCTTGGACCGTTCTCGTTCTTAGTCTCGACCTCATTCATTTCGACCAATATCTTACTTAAAAATAAGATTGGTTGTTACTACCGTACACCTGGGTTTCATAAAATAACTTTTGTACCGCGCGAAGCTATAAGTTAAATTTTTTGAAATAAAAAATCTGCCTAATGTTATGTGACTCGTTTCAAAACCGAAACACGAAACGAAACTGTAATCAGCAAAATAAAGATATTTTTGACCCAGGAAAAAATGAACCCAGTTTAAATTGCAAGTAACGTTTTTTCTTGTGAAAGTTAGATGAATCTTATCGATTTTATTTCCTAGTTCCTTATTTTTCCGGTAGAGGTCACGTACAGTACCAGTCTCTTAAAGAATTTCTTCTTCTATTCCATTTACCGTTACGCGACGACGTCAAAGGTACCGACAACTTGAGTCGATCAAAATTTTACTTTTGCTTTATAACGTAACTTTGGATTGTTTGTCGTTAAGTGATAATTACGATTTTTAGTATTCGAGTTGCTCGATGTGTCAACCCTTAATTTTATTCATTCATTTATATGCCGTGCTGTTCGCATCCTCTCTTTTCAAAGTCAAAATACTTCAATTGCGTCGATACTCCGTGAGATACAAAACGTTGGAGCACAATGACTTTCGATACAGCTTCTTTTGGTTGGGCATATTAGTTTGAATTTAAATTTGTTTATTATTGAGTAGATTCAAATACAGGATGTCCATTTTTTGGGTGCCACTATGGGGATCTCGCTTACCTTAAGAGATAGAAAGTTTACTAAATGAGAACAAAGCTGCGAATTTTGGTGCCGAATAAAAATCTGAAAAGAAATTTAAATATATTGTTGTGTAAACTGTAGTGGTGTTTCTCTAAGTTGAAATAATGCCGGACGTGAGAGCGAGCCAACCTGTAGTGGTGGTACTTGGTGTCGACGTAATTTACGGTTTACGCATTGGAAATAACAGTCGGAACATCCTGTATGTAAACTGTCTCAATTTATTTTTGTTTGATAAATTGCCACTTTAGTGTTGGTTTTCGTTAATTGTAAATTGAAAAATTGTTTAAGTCAGTTGTATTTAGTGAGTATTATGAATCTTATAACTCATAAATAAAGGAATATTTAATCGTAATTTCAAGGTAACCAAGGTAAAAGTTTTACCTGGTCATATGTTTTGTAAAGGCGTTATCGGAGAAATTAATTGCCTTTAGTTACTAACAACGCCACGTGCAAGATATTGAAGGCAGCTGTTTATTAATACGGGCGACAAAGCGGTGTTTTGAGAATCGCCGGGGAACAACGATATAGAACGGATGAGTGGAGATGGCTTGGCCTTTAAGTACGAAGAATGAGAAATAAACGAAGCTGTTGTCAGTTGTCATTGTTGCGCAAAATTATTACAGGCGACTAAAGAAGTTTATGTTTTTCTACGTTGGAAACTTACAGGTGCGGTTCCACAGTCAAAAGAACAAATTCATTATTCTTAGCATAAATCGGAAACCCTTGATCTCACAGTTTGACAGTTTGCGTTCGCTGTTGCTCTGGAAAATAAAATATGACCCCATTACGTGAACGTGAAACGAACCCAAACGTAAACGCGAATCGGATCCAGAAGTTAACGCTTGGGTTTTCGTTGACCTTTGGTATTGTGTCCACGTTTGACACAATAAGGACATATTTGTGCTATCGTAATAAGTCCAGATGCTTAGATTTAGCAGTTTACTTGCATCCCATAATGGGCACGTAATACTTTCTAGTCTACACGCGAATCCAACCCAAACGTGAACGCGAATCGGATCCAGATGTTTACTCCAGTTGTACCTTCAGGTTTGGGTTCGCGTTCACGTTTTTCTTTGCGTTCACGTTTTGGTTTGCGTTCACGTTTGGGTTCGCGCTCACATTTGGGTTTGCGTTCCCGTTGAAAAATTGATCTTTGGTGGCGAGAGGTCTTTGAACTTTACCTTGATCTACTTTTCAAGATCACACTTTCCAAGTAGGGAGAGGGGAGGGGGGGGGTTGTCGAATGCCCTACAAATTTTCCAATGTCACCGCTGCGGGACATTAACTTCACCTAGTCAGGTAGCGGATTAAATTCAAAATGGCGATGTCTAAATTCTCTATTGGTTAGTGATATTTTACCACCAATCCCGATCGGCCTTAAGGCTAATAAACATTAAAAAAATACACGGTAGGTAAGTATTTTCACGGTAGCTTTACATAATGAGCTAACAACTGTAATACTATATGTATATTAAAACAAATGCAACTTCACCTAACAAGTAGACTTCGAGGCGCGACTGACGATTAAAGACAATTTAAAAACCAAAGACGCATTGAAAACCAACAGTGTAAAATGACGCATATTTCGTTCACCGCAATTATCCAGATAAATTCTTCGCATCGTAATGAACAATATTTGTCTGGGAAGACACTGCAGAACTTTGACGTAAAAATGCTAATTTACTTATTCCTGCGAGAAAATCGAAAAAATTTAAATACAAACCTGTATACACTCGTTACAGGCGTTAATTCCGTAACCTGCTACATCTTGTTTGACATCTCGTTTAGCAATAACATAGCAAATGGTATTATGCGTTAATTTTCTTCGAAATACGTAGTATTTTAGTACTGGTACAGGTAAGATGATCCATTGTACATTTGCGGTATACTGCATGTCTGCATCTCGGAAATGAATGGGTTAGCTATTTTTATAGTAAACGGTATATAGGTACATCGTTTTATTATTATTTCGAATCCAAAATTCCTGTATTACAGCGTCTATTTATAAAGTGATAAATAAAGATGTGCCAATTTATAAGTTACATGCATACATTTGTACTAAATTCAAGAATGAAAATTTTTTATTTTCGGTTCGAATAATATCTTTCAGCCCGCAAGTATCGGAAAATAGCGATATAACATTAATACTGTATTACTCGAAAAAAAAATCATCATGATCGTTTGCAGGTTTATAAGAGAAAGATGGATGTTTAGGCTGAACTACAGGGTGTGTTAGGTACGAGAAAGCTATGGAGAGAGCCTGAAAACTATTGAAAGAATGTAGGACAGTTTATGACTCTAGAGACTACTTCATACTTGTTTCTTTTGTATAGCATTCAAGTGGCTTGCAGATCATTCGAGCCTAAATATACTGTAGGAAACAACCTTGAAAATGCTTGTAAATATAAAGGCGCTACAAAACCTTTGATTACTTTTTAGAGTATTCACATTTCTCATACGCCTACATCAGGAACTATTTGGAATTGGTCCCCAAAAGCTTTTTATCACTTTCCAGTGTCTGTTAAGATTCTAATGCATTAGACGACTTATAGAATCGCATGAGCGCTTTCTTCGGCCCTGCCCAAAGCTTTTGACACTCTTTCAGGCACATTTTAAATCTGAGCGTATTTGAAAAGGACCATAGAAATTTGACGAGTTTAAAAATTGAAAAAAATTGAACTGAATCACGGATTTGATGAATTTCAAGAACCTGAAAGATCAAAAAAAGAAACTAAAGATCGGAAATATGGTTCTGAAGAATATGTACGGACGACTGAAATACCTAAGCACATAAAAGGAAAAATGGAAGAAATTTTGGAAACTAAATCAGGGCGCATATTGCGTGCATTTAGACAACATTTCGCACCTGTAATAGCTAAAATTAGATCTAATGTGGTTTTCGTAACCTAAATATCACATACTTACACACGCGTAACTATAATGTATAATCCCAAATTATTATTAAGCGCGCTAGACAGAATCGATGATAAAAACGTTGAAAAAATCATTTGTTTGGCTTTCATCCCACATTCTTGGCCGTTGAAAGCTCGTTTTTTTGTTTATTTTTATTTGGGTTATTAGTTATAATAGTGAAAATTTTTTATAGCGACGTTAATGTACTTGGGCGGCTTAGTAAAGGTTTTCGTATTTTTGTTGTTACTGCTCAAGTTCATTGCAACTGTAAGGTCATTCAGGAAACGGTGAAACGGAAGTGCTTCGGGTGCCACCAGAAGTTTTCGGTCTGTCTTGCGTCTGGACAAGATGCGGTCAGCGATGGTAAGCTCCAGGTAACCTGAATGGAGAACGACGGCCCATAAAAGGCAAGCGGTGGGCGGCCACTGGTGAATATCAAAACAAACTTAAAACGCACAGCAATTTCCCTAAGCGGGAACAGTAAATAATCGAATATAGTAAATATTAGTTCAATTTCACTGATATCTCATAAAACGTCAATAATGTTTAACCAAAATATTAGTTCAAAATTTACACTCCAATATGTTTTAGAGGGTTTACACTCTAAAAGAGCGACACACTAAATCTAATTGAATTAAAAATAAACCCTGCTGGTCAAAAATATTTAAATCTAATAAATAAATATAGAAAATACCTATTTCACAATCAAATTTTTGTCGCCTCGGTTCGAATTTGCTTTCCTTCAATTTTGCGGGATATCTTGGTAAAATTTCTTCAAAAAGATAAATTAAAGCGGTCCCGTAAAAAACAAAGCAAGTTGCTTAATAATACGTGGCTAGTGTGTGAAACAAAGGGCTGGATTATTCAAAACTCAATTTACCAATGGGAAATTTTATAATTTCGATAATGAAGTTTTTCTATTTATCGGCGAAGAATTATGGCACTGATCTTCTCTTTCTTTCACTTTTATAATTCATTTAGCCCATAACTATAGGACCAATCCGCTTTTAAATGAGCGCTAATTGCTGCATACAAATCGTAATATGTATTTGCAAGCTTCTGCTTTACAGTTTGGGTTACCGCTGTCAGAGATCGAATGCTGTATTTAATGCACTTTCACTTTCAAAAAATAAAAAGTGTACTTTTGCGTTCCTTATGTCTGTCTGCCTGAGTCACTAGGGCTCCGGAACTACACCACTTACAGACTTGGTATTGGTGTCATTCGATCAGAAATTAATAATTATTTACATAAAAGTCAAGAAAATGATACATTACTGGCGAGGAAATACTGAAGTGCGAGGCCCGTTTAGGGTCGAGTATTTTAATTTCCAAGTTGTACTGTAACTGTAACAATTTAATTTTTCCGGAGAGTGCTAATGTAAAATTTTGGTAAAAAAAATATTATAGAAGGGGCTCTTGTGCGATAAAAAAGCATTTTGGTCCACTTGGCTCTCCATCTGTCCTTATTTAGATCTACGCTATAAATTGATAGTGACTCAAGCAAAAAAATATCTTCGTTCCCTCTGTGCCTTCACCTGCCTACATCTTACATTTTACGTTGGCAACAGCCTGACTAATATATTGTTTTTCAATTCATTAGGGATGATCGTTGTAGACCAATGACTTACGATAACCCCACGGTCGTAGAGGGTTAAATCAGGGAACCGCGTCGGCCAATGCAGACCGCCTTTCGCCCTGAAAAGTGAGGCCGTAAAGCGGTCATTGAACCATGTTGATATATCGCTCTCCAGTCACAGTGACTTCCTAGTTGTTCTCTTAAAAAAACCATGGATCATCATAATAAAAATAATAGTAATATTTAATTGTGAGAAGGTACACTCGTCAAAAGAAACGGGAAATTACATTAAGCATTAAAAATAATAGTATATAACAAACAATATAACAAACTAAAAACAGACAGGTAAAAACAGTAAAATCGTAATAAAAACGCTAACTAATTACATAATCTACCACTAGCCACAAACTCGTTAAAAGAATAAAATGCGCTACATAGAAGAAAATTTTTTATGCGTCTCTTAAATATGGGGTAGTCTAAAACCCTTATATCTAAGGAAAGGCAGTTATATAAATGTTTGGATTGGTACTGTACTCTTCCTTGTGAGTTTGATAGTCTGCATAGATCAGTACGGATATTGTTTTTTTTCTTGTGTGATGAGTAGGTATGTACGTCAACTTGTTGTGTGTAAAGAGATATATTTCGTTTAGCATAGCATAGGGCTTCAAGAATATAAATACAAGGAAGTGTTAAGATTCTGAGATCGATAAATGCTTGACGACAATCGTCTCTATAACCTAAAGATGCCAGAACCTGAACAGCTCTACGTTGTAGTTAATAATAAGAGGTACATTAATCAAACTGAAATGAATCTGTGGAAGAATTCCAATAAATTCTGGAGCCACGTCAAGTCAAGAATAGACTTCCTCAAGTTTTTGAGTCCAAAAACACCTCGTTAACGGACGCCAGAACCATTGCGGATGCCTTTACAATTGTATTTATACAATGTTTATGTTAATATCTACGAAAAGAGCAGAATTTCAAATTTAGAAAATAACATTCCAAATAAATATCAAGTTGTCGTTTCTCGTTGCGCCAGAAACTTTGTTTACGCACGTTTTGGAATTTAACAGGCCAAGGCCGTTATAAGTAATCTTATCAATCACATTGATATTACTAGTTACGTCAGTTTAACAGATATGTATTATGAAAAATATTGATAACTGTAAGATCCTAACATTTACTAGATGGAAAAATCTTTTACTTTTTAATTATTATAAGATAAATGTGTTTTTCAATACCAACCTTAACTTCAACTTACACGTACTGAATACCTAACAAATGAGTGCTACAAACTTTTTGGATTCATAATCAGAAATGCACTCAATTTCACAAATATCTACACAATGCTAACCTTAATGCGCTTATTAGATCCAAGCTTGAGTATGCTGCATGTATCTGCTCTCAAATACTCAGACATGATGATCGAAAAAGTGCAGAAAAAGTTCTTCCGAGTAATGTTTTTTAGGACAACCCACAATTATCCACATTTGATCTCTTACGGTACCCAGCTTAATTACTTAAATAGTATTTTCGGCTTAAAAATAACGGCGTTAAATAGAAACCCGATGGTTCATCGCATCCACAATTTTTGTTTTCAAAATTTTACATAATTTGTTAAACTCTTCCGAATTGGAATTTTCTTATTCTGTATGGTGTCCGGTTAAACAAATAAGTAAAAATAAATTAACCCTAACCCAGGAATACAATAAATTGATTCTATTGCTTGTACTGTACACACAATTAGTTGGAAAATGAGCATGGGCACCGAAAGGGTCAAATATTATGGGCTCAACGTAATACAAATTTTCAATGTTTTTATGCTTTTAAATTTCAAATTGGTTAGTTACATAGTTATACACAAAAATTGAGTATGAATTTTTTCGGATGGGAAGCAGGAGGAGGAGGGGGGGTACGTGCTCTGCTTTCACACCTTTTTCGATTAATACAGTTGACAAAACTTGTAGAGAATTTAGTCCTTTACAATTTTTGTAATAGGGACTTTGTGGGAGGAAGCAACCTAAATGCTATTTTTACCGCCATTTTAACAGAATGGCGACGTTTCCCAGAACAGCACGATGTCTCAAACTTAAAATGTTTTTCAGGACGTAAAACTGAACTAACATACCAAATTTCAAATCTTTCCGACTGAAGGGAAGGTAGACCCGATTTTAGCTCCCCTTCCAGTACGTACCTACTGATGAACGCCACCTTACGGTGACAACTTCTTACTAAAGCATTAAAATGTTATACATCCAATTTAGCATATTAAATTATAGATAAATCTAAAACATGTAAATATAAATGACAGTAATGCATAAATGAGACATATGCCTAACAGCAGCCCAAATATAACATCGTAACCTGCAGCTTGATATATCCACATATCTCTGGAAGCCAAATTTAAATACTCCAGGCTTCCATGTCGCAACACATATTCAACCCAATAAACGGCTCTTTTCAACGGACCTTCGGGTGCTTCTTTGAACCTTTGGGATAACTGCTTTATATTTTTAGTATACCTATGTGGAATAGTTTGTATGGCACAACTTTCAATTCAAATTACCTACATGGGGTTGCTGGTCACCTCCGTAACCGCAGCATATAAATTTTCTGAAGTTATATCATTATATCTCAATACTTTGCCCATATTTCGGTCAACAAGCTTTTCCCCGTTAGCGTGCTGATCTATAAAAAAAGGTATAACGATGAGCGGCACTCCATGGTGCATCGCTTCTTGAGTGCTCAATGCCCCTCCATGAGTGATGAGCAATTTAGCTTTGGGATTACCTACAAATCAATTCATTACGGTCTATAATATTAGCGGTTAGCCTACCTAAAAGGTCATTCTGTGGTAACCATTTTCGGACAATCACATTTTTTGGGCAATTCTCTATTTCACTCTCAAATTTCCAAAATATCGTCTGAGGAAGTTTGGCAAAAGCGTTTAATATTGCTGACTTTTTCGTGCTGCTAAGATCGTCTGATCTTAAATAGCTCCCTAACGTAAATACTATTAAACCATGTTTTGCGTCGTCTACAATTCTTTTCAGATCCTACAACACTTTGGTAATGTGGTCCGTTTAAATTAATCACTTACATCTGGTAGTGGTTTGACGGGTTGTACATGTAGCCCTCCTGCCGGTATTATATTCGGTGGCAAAGCCATAGGAAAATCTAATATTGGATCATAGCTAGTTATCAATATCGACATATTCCTCTCGACCTCCTCGAATGGACGAATATCTTCTGCAAAATACTTTTTTGCCAATTTGTACTCGGCGGGCAAGCCAAAGTATTTTCGGTAAAACACTTCAAAGTGTGTAAGAACAAAATTCTTAATTCTCTGTAGAAAGGACATCCTATCTAAGTAATTTGTACTATAGAAAGGCACGAACGCAGCTTGCAAAGGGTTTCCAAAAACGTGGGAGAAAACAGGAGGTAACTTGAAAGGTGTAACTGCCACTATTGGCGGATTACCGAATCGTTCAATTAACGGGTAGAAACATTGCCCCAGGGTAATATCGATAATTATCAGGTCAAAAATAAAATCCTTAGGGTAATTCAATATTGTTCTGAAACCCTCTGTGGAGAAATCGTGTTCGCACGAATATAGTGAAAAATCATAGGTTTTCTTTACGTCAAGAAACTCATTCGTTTCGGTTAGAAAATCCAAAGTGAAGGAGTCGTGTACTTTCTCAAAAAAACCTAAAACTTTATTATTGATGTTATTCTAAAAAGGTGATACCGACCTTCTAATATAATGACATGAAAGTTTTCGAATTTTCCTTTTTCTTTAGTATGAGTGATCATGGTGACGTTGTGGCCCTTCTCAACTAATCCAAGCGCTAAAACCCGATTCCATATATGATGACTTCGGGTTCCCAGAGGTACAATATGCAAAATATTGGCACTTAACACTGATTTTACTAACAATAGAAGGATAATAACTTTCATGTTGTATCGTTTTAATAGAACTGAAGGTTAAAAGGAATTATATAACAGCTTGTGTTCATTATGGTGGGAGCGTGTAATAACAGAAATTAACTAATTTAAAATCAATGTACAACAGGGGTGACCCAGAGGTCGACTGTGGTCTACCAGTAGATCGCGAAGGTAATTAAGGTAGCCCACGCGTGATAAATGAATTAATTAGAAAAATGTGCAAATATACAAAGGCATATTTTTGACTTAGACATATTTTTTAAAGCTAGGCATTAAGCCCTGAGTTTTGTAAAGTTCCCGTGTCTAAGGGAGGTAGGTTTATACTTAACATCATTTTTTGGTTCTACCGATCTTTGCGAGTCTATATTCACAGTTACATCTTACACCTCCCAGTATGAAAATCTTGTGGAGAATGTGCAGTGCAAAACATCTACCCAAAAATTAACAAAAAAAATTCGAATTTTGAAACTATTATATTTAATAAATACTTTCTTACTTATTTCTCTCTTGTAAAACGTTCGATCACAAGATTTTTATGAACGCAAGTAGACTTATCACAAATCAAAGGTTTGGCCACCCCTGATGTACTACCTACAAGATTATTATCTAGGTAGCTGATAACTAAGGTATTTTCTGATATTAATTATTGTGAGTTACACACAATAATGGGCGTAGATGACTCCAAACAAAGGGATGACCGTCTTTCCGGTGACTGTTTTAGACAATTAATAGTATCACAAACTGCATATTGGCGCATTATTGTTTTTAATTACCGGACTAGAGAAGGTAGTATACTGGATAAATGTGCAATATAAAGATTCCCAAAGAATCCATTGTCGAATTGCGTAATAGCTTACTGCTCATTTCCCAGCACGTGTAAATGACTTTTTTGTTTGCATAGTTTTTATGTGCTTTTTAAAGGAGAAAAGGAGTGAGAGAATTGCGAATGACCTACACAAAACATAAAATAATCACGAAAGAAGAGACGTGGTTGAAGAACTCGCGAAACAAGAGACGGTAGGTAATTACAGAAGACGTGATCCAAACGTGAAGAAAGAATGCGTAAGTACATAAGAAATGGAACCAAACAATCCCAGAAGAGAAGGATAAAGGAATAAATAATAACTTAATAATCTTTATTAAAATATGGAACGGTTCTTATGTTCTTTAGGGTACCCTTTGATGCAATAGAATAACAGAGTAAATGAGTTCTTCTTCACAGAGAACAAAAGGGCCAACTTCCTTCTACGTGGGAAGGCACCATTGACCTGGTACGTTTCACCAGTAGCATTGAAGACGACCACAAAGCCTCCGCCCAGGGCACTCCAACACTCCGAACGTCTAGTCAATACTCCCAAGTGTCACCACTGCCAGGAGTACCATTTTCACCTGAATTGCCCAGTCTTCCAGCCGCAGGGACCATCCAAAATTAATCCGTTCAAAGCCGAACCCAACTTCCCAACCGTGTGGACGGCACGGACGTGGTAGCCCTATTGGACACATGGTCGACGCACAATTTTGTAAGAAAAGAGCTCGTTTCGGAGATTGGGCAATGCGCCGACACAACAGCTAGTCTAGCAGACCTGGACCACCAACTCTATATATCGCAGGCGTCACCACTGGTTCTACCACTCACCAAATTCGGCTGCGCCAAGATACTCCCTTCCCCCGTATAAGTATTCCCCAGGGAAGAAACGAATCGCTGGCGAAGTCGATGCAATGCTGGCGACCGGAATAATTGAACCTAGCACGTCCGAGTACTGTTCGCCCATCGTGTTGGTTAAGAAGAAAGACGGAAAATCCAGGTTCCCGATCATCTAGGAGACGCTCCGCAACCTGGGAACCGCCAAAGTCTTCTCCGTAAGTGACCAAAAATCGGGATACTGAAAAGTATGTCTTGACTCAGACTCGAAACCACTTACCGCCTCCTCTACCACCGACGGTGCAAGCTATGATGCCCTTTGGGCTTAAAAACGCCCCAAAAATTGATGACTTAGGTCCTAGCGGGATACATAATCGTGTTCTCCGACACATGGGAAGATCCCATCCGAGTAGATATACAGGGGGGTTCCTGGTTCAGTTCAAGGTCGCTCGCCATCTGGTGGTGACCTTGGAAAGTAGGTCATCCGAGGACATTGACCCCACTGGTTTGTTATCAAATTACATTTTCAAGGTCATCCGTAGTCATTGGCCGCCATACATTTTCAATGTCATCCGAGGTGATTGTCCCAATATTAAATTATATTTTTAAGGGCATACGAGGTTAATGACTACATGGTATTATATTACATGTTCGAGGTCTTCCCAGGTCAATGACCACAATTATTGTGGTGTTGAATAACATTTTCAATTTCATCTAAGGTCAATGACCTCAATTGTGGTGTCCAAAACCGAACCAATCGAAGCCATCCGCGCCGCCGAAAAACCCACTTTCAGCAAACAACTCCGCAGTTTCCTGAACTTAACGAACTGACTTCGGGAATACGTCCCACAATGCACAGATCTGCTAGCGCCGCTCCACGAGTTACTCAAACAAAGCACTCCTTCCGATGGAACAAATCGCCCAAACGATCATTCCAAAAACTAAAAGAGACCATCGCCGGCGCACAGCCGATCGCTATTATGACTGGACCGCACAAAGGCCGAGGGCAGCAAATTAACACGTTGGGGACTCCATCGTCCACTGCCCGGACTAAACAAATGATCTACCCGACTATCTCTCCCGCAACCCTTCGGGCAGCCTGCAGAGATGCCGATAGAATGGTTCCGCCCATTCCCAAACCAACCAACGCCGACGAACCTCCCAGCATCGAGGTCGCAAAAATAGCCGAGCAGGTCAAGGAAATCCAACGAAGCAACAAACACGCACGCACCCTGTCGGACGCACTGGAGAGAATTCGAGTCGAAACACCCGCCCAGGAACGATTGATGCGAGACTACAACGACAGCGTATATCCACGCGGTCCGAAAGAGGCACTTCTGGTTGTCCCTTGGTTTGTCCCATTCTAGCATGTTTATTACATACCTACTTATATTCAAAACGAAAAGCAATTATGCTCTAGCCTTTAGTTGTTTAAAAAACCATATAGGAATGAATGGTTTTGGCGAACAAGGCTGTCCTTCAATATTTATGACAGATGATAGTTCTAGTGAGCGCAATGCTATGAGCCCTGTTTTTCCGTCATCACGCCTACTCTTGCACAGGCACTTTGGACATGGCCTGGAGTACAAAAAATTGTGCTTTGAAGGACGATCGAAAACCTATAATAAGAATCCATTACTTTCCAAACACATTACAAGTATTTGGCAAAGAAGGACGAAATTATGTTTGTGTCTAAGTAAAAACGTACAACAAAAATAATTTTGCAGATGCCACTATACGGATTTTTTAAGACACAGAGATGTAGAGCATTCATTAGTTATTCATGTTATCTATTATTTTAAATTGTTATAAATTAAGGATGTGTAGGTCCATATCTATTTGTTTTTATTAAATGCAATTCAGCACCTATTATCATATCAGTAGTTATGAATATGATGCATTCGGCATAGAACATTTAGTAGGAGAGCTGGTAGGTATTTGAGGAACGCTGTAAACTTGCCCAATACTTTTCCAATAATACCTAAACATTACAGAATTGCAGACCTGGCTGCGAAGTAGCGGGCTAAATCAACCCTTATATATTTAAATATACGATTTTTTTTGCAAAAAATGTTCTTGAGACATTGCGAAATTTTTACACCTCTAAATTTAATATTTAAAGAACGAAAAAGGCAATACGCCAATTTATTTAGTGGGGTCTTACACTTTGCCAGTCGCCTTCAAAGTGAAAAAATGTATACTGGCCGCCATGAACACATGGATACTTGTTGACTGCGTTGCCACCACCTCTACCCAGTAACACGAGGTGTTCCGCCGTGGAAATTTTCATCTACCTTGTTTTCTTTCTCGGAAAGGCTGCGCAATGGAACGGTGGCTCTTCGGAAATCCTTCCAAAGGACCTATTGGCTTATAAAATTGCACGATGCGCTCTGCACTTGGAAGGTTGCTGGACTTCGCTAACGCGTCGTCCAGCAACTATCTTCCTCGTCCCGAAAACTGACATATTTTGTTCTAATGAAACAAATAACTATTTTGACGGATATATGCCGATCGATGTAGCTGTTAAAACAATTGCTGCCGCACCGTCAAACGCGCGATGTTTAAATAGTCGTTAAGTTTTCTCCAATTTTCCAATTTTCTGCGCGATTTTCTTAGTTTTTCTTGCCGTAAGAACCTTCTACACAGTATTAGAACACTTAAAAAAAAAAGATGAATGAAATCGGTAAAGTCGTTCTAAAGTTATTGCGTGACCAGTAAAAACAGGGGTTCATTTTTATGTATAGAGATTAAAGCTGAATTTATAGTTCCGTACCCGCAACACCGTACCGTAACGTTTGGAATTAAACCCTACTTGTTGCGTGTGAACATTTATAGTTCGCGTTAACGTTGCGTTAGAACGGTTACGGTACGTAGGAAATGCCCAAATCTTATTTCTTACGGTAAATCGTGCTCACGCGCTTGTGTTCGGTAGTACTCGGATAATTCAAACAGTTGAGTTTATTCTGACGTTCGTTTCGTTTATTTACAATAATTATTGACACTTTGTTGGTTATTATTATTTTGAAATGCACGTTACTCTTACTGACAGATGACATACAATGACAGAATTCGTTTCGCACTAGTGCGCATGCTCATCTCTTACCACTACGGTAACTATAAATCGTATAATTTTCGTTAACGTAAGATTTTACGGTTCCGTTCTTACGTTCTTACGGATACGGAACTATAAATCCGTCTTAAGTGTAAATCTGGGGGGTTATTTACGAATAAGCATAAAGTTGGTTTATTCTACTTGAATTTGATATTTCAGTGTCTCTTTTTCCTTTTAGAATTGTTTGTAATTACGTATTATTTTCTTGTTTAAATTTTCTCGCTCTTGTAATTGATTCTTAGTTAGACAGATCTGGTCATATTTTGGTTTTGGTGGTTTTGCGATAGGGAGCCTTATGAGGCGAAAATTATTTAACGCGCGTATTCTTATTTTCGGTGTAAGTGGGAGAGCGGGGCACGTTCCTTCGAGGATGGCGTTATCAAGTTTAATTGTTTTAAAAATCCTGAAGAAAAAGATTAATTTATATTGTAGTATAAGTGGTGTTCCCTTAAATACTTGAATCAACGTAAAAACGAAGCGGCTGCCCTAGTTGTTTTGTTGAAGACGCAGTTCGTCGGTTTTAAAATTAAGTGTGCAGAAGAAGTTTATCAATTTCAATAAAACATTCAAGTTATGGTCAAGTAACAGTTTGTGAAAAGTTTTTACAACGGTTTGTCCGTATTCAGAAAAAGTGAGTTCGAGTGTGAGTAAACAAATGAGTTGTCAGCTTAGTAAAACCTTTATAAAAGGTTTGTCTTTCATTAAAGTCATTAAGTTTTGTAAGCTTCTCTTTCTTTCAGGGATTTTGGTTTAATTACTTCATGTGTTTCATTGTCGATAACTTAATTATGCGTTTATTTGAATCCTTTGTGCGACTCAAATAGAGTTTTCATCTCAGACTTTCCTACTTGTGCCCAAGATTTATTTTAGTTATTAATCAAAAGTTGCATAAAAAATTGTTTGTAATTGATTGAAGTTGATCAAGCCCACGTACCGAGTCTCTCAAATTAAAAAAATGTTTGTCAATATTAGCATTATAGCAGATGCAGATGAAATTAAATTAACTAGACGTAGAGGTGGTGTGAAAAAAACATGAAGGAGAAGTGAAAATGATATGGATCATGGTGACTGGAGGTCCCACGTAAGTGTAAAGGCATAAAAGAAAGGGTAAGGGGCTAGAGGCATAGACAAAGCGACAGAGGAAGAGATGTGAAGGGTTTAAAGAGAGCACGAAGAATATCAGTGAATTGTGAGCGAAACATTAGGAGGTTTAAGAGGAGATTGAAGTAAAGAAGCGGACCAACTCTGTTTGAGTGTTATAGTGCTATATTTACGGGAGATTTGATGCTATAAGTCCACCGACAACAGGTGAAAATAAATAACGTTAATTCATATAGGAGAAACAATCCTAACAACAAGACGAGAACGACATCGTAACTAGCAAGCTGGTATGTCGACATATCTCTCGATGCTAAATTAAAATGTTTCGCTGTTCCATGCCGTAACACAAATTCAACCCAATAAACAGCTCGTTCTAATGGATGGTCTGGACTATCTCTGTACAGTTGTGATAATTGTTTTATATTTTTACTGTACCTGGGTAAACAACTCTGTATAGTGGACACAACGGAAAAAAGTATCTTACATGGGATTGTTGATGACCTCTGTGATAGCAGCAAATAAATTTTCTGACGTGATATCATGGTAACTCACTACTTTTCCCATACGTCTATCAGCAAGTTTTTCCCCGTTTGCATGCTGATCTATAAAGAATGGAACTACGATCACTGGTACTCCATGGTACATCGCTTCCTGGGTGCTCAGTGCACCTCCGTGTGTAATTAACAATTTCGTTTTACAATTTCCTAGAAACAGCAAGCTAAAATCAAATCGCGGATTTTATATCAGTTCACCTAAAAGATCATTTTGCGGTAGCCATTTCCTTACAAAAACGTTTTTCGGAAGATCAGTTATTTCACTTTCAAATTTCCATAACACCGTCTGGGGAAGTTTTGCAAAAGCGTCTAATATTGCAGTTCTTTTAGTAATACTCAACTGATCTGACCGGAAGTAACTACCCAACGCAAATATAACTAAACCTTCTTGAGCGTCCTCCACAATCTTTTTTAGGTCCTGCAATATTTACATTAGAATGTCGTACCACCTACATTAATCACCTACTACTGGTAGTGGCTTAACGGGCTCAATATGCAAACCCCCCGCTGGAACGATGTTAGGTGCCAAAGCCAAAGGAAAGCTTAATAGGGGGTCATAATTGCATATCAATAAGGACATATTTCGTTCGACCTCTTCAAAATCTCGAATATTTTCACCAAAATATTGTTTTGCCAATTTTAACTCGGCTGGCAGACTAATGTACCTTCTGTATAGAATCTCAAAGTGAATCAGTAGAAAATTTTTCATCCTTTCCACAAAAATCATTCTATCGGTGTGCTTCGTACTATAAAATGGGAAGTAGGCGGCCTGCATGGGATTGCCAAAAACATGCGCCAGAGCAGGTGATAGTAAGAAAGTTGTAACTGCCACCACTGGTGGATTGTTAAATCTTTGGATCAACGGGTAAAGACATCCCTCATTAGTAATATCAAAAATGATCAGGGCAAAATTGAAATCCTTGGGGTAATTCAGTAAGGTTTTGAAACCTTCGGTCTCTAAATCGTGCACGCACGAATAAAATGAATAATCGTACCTTGCCTTAATGTTAGAAAACGCATCTCGTTTTGACAGTGACTCTAAACTGTGAGCTTCATACTTTTTTTCGTAGAAACCTGAAACAATACTCTTGTAGAAGCATATGTTATACTAAAAATCTAAAAGTATACTGACCTTCCAGTAAAATAGTATGAAAGTTTTTGATTTTCTGTTTTTCTTCAGTGTGAGTAACCATGGTGACGTTATGACCTTTGTCATTTAAACTAACCGCCAGTGCCCGATTCCATATGACGTGGCTTGGAGAACCAAGGGGTACGATATACAAAATATTGGCGCTCAAGGCCATTCTTATTAATAAAAGGAGCACCACGTTCATGCTGTATCGACTATTAGAAATAAAGGTTAAAAAAATTGAAGCTTCAATTATACATTGTCATATCTCTTCTAGGTTTGTGTATAATAGATAAAAAAGAAGCTTCTATTGTTTACACTCATCGTAATGCATATTTAAAGGTAATGCATATTTAGTGGTAGTAATCTCGAGGACGACAGTATTATAACCCAAAAAAAGTTTGTTTACTTCATGTAAAAATAATCTGCTACCGAGTAAATGAAACCGGGTACTTGTTTAATTATTAGCGAAATGTTGTATACATATTGCAGCGATACCCTTTTGCGCTCGGCTAATGAAGCAAAAGTTAGATAAGAGCCCCAGGTCTACGCGCAGATTGTTTCAGAGTCGTGGTGTTTATCACCCCGTTCTGGTAAATAGACCATTAAGAATAAAATGTTCAAAGGTCACGTAGATCTCTTACAAGTCATATTACTTTGAAGATTTAGTACCTTATTACTGGAACGGATTACTTTAAATGACGCCGATGATCTTAATCTTGCGGCACAATAAAAAAATTCAATTTTGCGCCTCTAAATTCCAAATTTAAAGCAAACACTGGTTACGATCAAATTCAAAAGGATCACTTATCAAATTTTGAAGAAGACACTTGAAGTGAACTTTGAGTAGGAATCAACAAAATTAATCATAATTAAACATGAGACATATATCTGAGTCGTTAAAGGGATTGAATAAACACACGATTTGCATGATTTCACACAAGCAAAGTTTATTCTACAACCAAAAATGAAAATAACCATAACCAAGTCCTCTTCCGTCTACTTCTCTGGTTTTACATTCCCTCTAGCTGCATGCACATCCCGCTTCCTGGGCCCTCCTCTTTAGACTTCGTTCCATTACTTCTCCATCCTCCCTCACTCGTTCATTTTTCACGTCTTCATCAAGCTTCTCACCCTCTTTGCGACTTCATCATGGATCAATTTTCTTCATCCATTCAGCATCTTCTTTAACGTATTCATTCATACCGCTTTCATTCTTTTTGCAGATCTCTTTCGCATATGCATCCATTTCTTTGTGATATCCCCACGATGCTTTCGAACCTCATTTGCACCCCCAATTTCACATATCTTACAACAGCACGTCTTCTTCCGTCGCATTTTCTTCTTTTACTCTTGTGTTATTTCTTTATTTAACTTCACTTTCCATTGTGCTTCTGGCAGTTTTCTATTATGATTGTTCTTTATGTCATCTTTATACCATTTTGACCTCTCAGACACCCTTATCGAGTATTCCATGTCTCCCTTCAGGGGGTTTCACTCTACCCCTAGATATATCTAATTTCTTCACATACCAGTACATAACTTCTTTTAAAAAATCTGTCTTCACCTCTTTTATCACTTTTCTTACTTTATGCCTCCTTGGCCATTCTTTCATACCCTCTTCTTTCACATCTTTTCCTTTGCACTTTCTTTACATTTTGTTTGTTTGGTCCGCCTTCTTTCTTCACGTTTCAATCACGTCTTTTGCAATCACCGTCCCTTGTTTCACGAGTTCTTCTGCCGCGTCTTCTTCACCCCACTCTTCACCTCTTTCGCAATTTTCACACTTATTCTATTAACGCCGTTTAGACGGAAATGAGAGTACAGGCAGACAGACCGATAGACCGATCAACATCATCGAGATTTTGTTTGATTCGGATTCCTGATGCTTCAAAGTGTGTATTACCGTTAAAATAGTGAGGGGTCATTTTTTATCCCAAAACAATACCTCCCTTACTAAATGTGCTAGCTTCCGCTTCTTCATTACTGCATCATTCAGTTATTTTTACCCCCTCCCCCACTTTTTAATTTTTAGCGCATTTTTGCAAATTTATTTGTAAAAGAAGTAGCTTTTAATCGCACTTTGGTTGGCTGGCTGGCAGCAAATGTGGGCGCGTAGAAGAACTCTTGTAGAAAGGCGACGGGTGTACGTGTATCTACAAGGCCGTATAATATGTCAACCTTAGGGACAGGGCTATATGATGTGGGGTTGGGGACATCTGGGCGTCATCCTCGAGCGAAGTTTACTAACGTGAAGGTTTTTCAGTTTTTTCCTATCTTTTACTATAGTTTTGGTCCGACTCTTTTCAAATTGGTGTCGTCGGAAAGATGTTGTAAACGCGCACATCTCCTGCGTGGCGGAATTTTGCTTTTTGTCCTCGGGGCGAAATTAACGACCTTTTGCACGGCGCGCGCGCGCGCGTCTACGAGAGGTGGTCAACTTCGGGCGCCTTTTACCTTCCGTTGCGAATTTTGTCACGCGGTTTAACGTTTCGTAAATCTCGAATCGCTGTTTCTCTGTCTCGTGTCGCTAATAGAAGCTCGAGTAATGAGAAGTACCCCAAAAATTAAGTACTCTCTTGTGGAAGGTTTTTAGCGAAATCCACCAAAATGTGAGTGCAATATACCTAAGTATGCACCGAAAGAGGATATGTGGTAACGTCCGACAAGATCTAACTGATGGTGGAGTGAAAACTTCAAACGCGAATTTAGGGTGAACGGGAAGTCGGAAGTGGGTACCGTCAAAGGGAATGTGGTAGCCCCCGACACCATCTTACTGATGGTAAAGTCAAATCTTCAAACGCGAATTGCGACTGAACGGGGATTCGAAAGTAGGTACCAACAAAGGGAACGTGGTAGCCCCAGACACGATCTTACTGGTGGTGAAGTCAAATCCTCAAAGGGAATGCGGCAGCCTCCGACAAGCCTTATAGTCATTGCTTAATAGATTATATTTAATGTTATTTTTCCTACCACAAGCCGATTGTCGTACGTCTTTTTTTGAAAAAACAGTAAATATATTTGATAAACTTACTTTACGACTTCTATTTTTAAATATAAGTGGCTGAAGTCCCTTCGATCTCACACGAGGACTTTGATCAATTTTTTATTTTTGAAAAGGAAAATACTTTCCTTTTTAAAACATTCGTTTGTGGATGATCAAGGCAAAAAGAACTTTAAAAACACGAAGGACTGTTGAATTATAGGAAGGTGACGTAGAATCTTTTGGTCTCATCGTACTTCCTTGAATCAAAAACCATTATGGAGAGAAGTGTAGGTAGGCGACCCAACGTTCCTGGACCATAAAAAAAACAGGGACTATCACACAGTTACTTGGTATCTCTACAACTTGTATGTGACATTTCATTTTCAGGTCCTACAGGTTCTTTATCGTCATTTATGTAATATAAATAATAATAATTTAAAATGGGTCAATAATCAATTTACGTCCTACCACTTAACGTGCGATATGTAAATCTGATACAAGTAAATACAAATAAAGTTAATGAGTACAAAAGGTACAATCCTAACAACACCACCAAGACAACATCATAACTTGTTGCTTCAAAAATCGACATATCCCTCGAGGCCAAACTTAAATTCGTCACACCACCATGCCGTAACACGTACTCAACCCAATAAACAGCTTTCTTTAGTGGCTCTTCTGACTGATCCTTATACCTCAGTGACAACTCCTTTATATTTTTGCTGTAACTGAATAGACTATAATCGATGCCCAACAAATAAAAAAAGCAGTAACTTACATGGGATTGCCGATGATCTCCATTATTGCGGAATATAATTTTTCCGTTGTTATTTCGTGGTACGTCAACATTTTAGCCATCTGTCTCTTGACCAGCTTTCCTGCGTTGGCGTGTTGATCTGAAAAGAAGGGTATTGCGATGACTGGTACTCCATGATGCATTGCTTCCTGAGTGCTTAGTCCGCCTCCATGTGTAATGAGCAATTTGGCCTTTGGATGCCCTACAATAGGAAGCTCGTAAGCTGTCCGAGATTCGATCTACTACCAACCTAAAAGATCGTTCTGTGGTAACCATTTGCGCACAATAACATTTTTGGGAAGACCCTTTATCTCGCTTTCAAATTTCCATATTATCGTCTGTGGAAGTTTGGCAAACGCGTTCAGAATTGCAGTTCTTTTCGTGATACTCAGCTGATCGGATCTTATGTAACTACCCAATGTGAATACTATCAAACCGTCGTTTGCGCTGTCTGCAATCGTTTTCAGGTCCTGTAATATCTATTAATACAGTCAACTAAGCTAGTCACTTACGTTTGGTAGCGGTTTAACTGGCGCTATATGCAATCCTCCTGCTGGTATGATATTTGGTGCTAATGCCAAAGGAAAGCCTAATATGTGATCGTAATTACTTATTAATATCGATATATTCCTTTCAATTTCTTCAAAGTCCCGTATATGCTCACCAAAATACTTTCTTGCCAAATTTAACTCCGTTGGAGTACCAATATACCGTTTATACAAAATTTCGGCATGGATGAGAAGAAAATTTTTAATTCTTTCCAGAAAGGTCATTTTATCGCTATACTTTGTACTGTAGTAAGGCATGTACGCAGTTTGCAAGGGATTGCCAAAGATATGCGCCAAAACAGGTGGAAGTAAAAAAGGTGTAACAGCCACCAACGGTGGATTGTTAAATCTGTCGATCAATGGGTAGAGGCACTGCTGTAGGGTGATATCGATAATGATTAGATCAAATCTAAAATCCTTTGGGTAGTTTATTAAGGTTTTCAAACCCTTTGTTTGAAAGTCGTGCTCACATGAGTAACGTGAGAAATCGTACAACAATTTTATACCAGAAAGGGCGTCTGTTTCTGGTAGTGAATCTAAATTGAAACCATCAAATCCTTTCTCAAAAAAACCTGAAAAATTGCAACATTTTTATTCATCTTCATGCATTTTTCATACCTTCCAGTAAAATAATATGGAAGTTTTTCAGTTTCTGGTCTTCCGATGTATGAGTGAGCAGGGTAACATTGTGGCCTTTCTCGGTTAGGCCAATTGCGAGAGCACGATTCCATATATGATGACTCCGGCTACCAATCGTAGCAATATGCAAAATATTTGCGCTTAGCACTGAATGTATCAAAAAAGGCAAAATCACGTACATTTTTGCAGTAGCATAGAATAAAGTAGATTGCCAGCAGCTAAAGGTTAAACAAATCACTTATACAATCTGTATTGGTGGGGGTTTGTAATGTAAATGAACCAATTTAACCTTTATTATCTAATCAACCCACTTGAATATATATAGTTAGCGATTAGTTTCATTCTTCTTTCTTGTACCTGAAACCAGCTGAAACTGAAATAATTTAATGATCCGATGAAGTCACTTTATCAAAAGCATGATCTTTATTGCAAGAATGCTAATGAAAAATTGGGTACAAATCAGACGCTGTTCAATCTATTCTAGATCACCCTGTTCTGTTAAAATCTTATAACAGACATGCAGGCCCGTAGCCAGGGGGTGGCCAGGCGGGGCTGAGCCCCACCCTAGAACGTGGTCTTGCCCCCACTGGACATTGGTTGATGGTTCTTTTACAAAAATTACAGGAGAAGTCTTTATCAAAAACTTCTTAGCCCCACCTACAAAAATACCGGCCACCCCTGCTACTTCATTCTGGGTACGGGCCTGCAGACATGTCTATTGACATCTACATCAGGTTTAATTACAGTCAATTAGTTTCAACTATGGGCGAATGGCGATCGAACAGGAAGGTGATCTGCTCTAACTGGGAGTTTGGTGACGATGACAAATTAATAAGCTCACTTGGAAATTTCGAAGAGTTTGAAGCAATAAGCAATTATATGTATAAACCGCCAAATGGAGGGGTCTTTACTCTCTATAGAAGGATAATGTCACAAGAATTATGTGATATGCAACACTTTATGGTTTCGAGTTCCATTACAGAGCCGTAGAGAGAGCAGAGCTAGAAAGGTTTCAACACTTTAACTCCTTAGGCCCCTTTTAGACTTTTCAAGAGCCTTCTCAGCGCGTTCTCGACCAATAATTTTTCCTGAAAAGCTCTAGGAAGATCTTGGAAATCAGTGATATGGATATAAGAGGCTTTTGTAATAGAACACATAAATCCTGGTGACGCCTAAAAATAGTTCTGAACAGTGAATCGAAAGTCTAAAAATTCTTGCAGAAGCGAGATTACGCCAATCAAAGCTCTTCAGTTTAGAATCTATGTGCGATAAATGAGTGGCGATTCAATAATTTCCACATATCTCGTTTTTAGTTAAATATGCCTACAAGGCCATGTAATTTTCCATCTTGCTTTTAACAAAAGGACTTTATTCTCTACACCAAAGATGAGTCACATCCTGTACTCTTCACCCTTTCTCAGAATTTAGGTACCTGCTGGCTACCTGACCCATTGTTCCCAAAAACTTGCTTTTAACCTTGAGTGTAACCAACATTGTGTATGCATTTACTATCTTTGGTAACTACTGCTTAAACTTTTACAAAATATTTTGTTAATTAACTTTTGGACTGTATTAATCAAACTGCGAGTTTTTTCTTACGTCGTACTCTTTTTACCCTTAGCAGTTACTTGTGCGAGAGTACGACACCTTTTGGCTTTGTTTGCTTTGTTTATATTAATGTAAGTACATGAACTAAATTTCCGGGCTTTTACAATCATAATAATTACGATCATTTCACAATTATTTCAGTGTTTTATTTAACGTTCTTCCCTACTGTGCTTTCGGTCATGGCGTTGTTTATAACTAACGTAAGGGGACCCTGCCTAGATGTTTGATCACATGCCACTTTTCAAATTTAAGCGGGATCTTGTTTAGTTTTGGAGGGAACCATTTTTAAACGTTGCCGGGTTGACTTTATCTCCGTGTTCTTATAGTGTGAAGTTAGCGTAGAACCTGGGGGTTAAGTACACTACAATACATATCCCATATGTATACCGGGTGGTGCACGGTAAGTAGGAACATAGGGATTTAACATGGGAAATTAGTTTTATGCAATATCCTGCCCTCCTGTACATTTTACAGAAAAAACTGTAGAGTTTAA